TTTCCCAATTTGAGAATGCACATACCTAAAATCACTGTCTATTACTTGCAATTGTTACCCAACAGGAATAACTGGGCAATGCCTTACAACAGGCCAGGTGCTCCACAAGTCAAATTTAAAGAGCGGGGCAAATCCCAAAGCACAGGAAGAGAGACACAAAGCACACACAATCCACAGTTTATCTTGGACAGGACAAATTGGAAATAAAAATTCTTTAGATTCTTTCAGATCTCCACAAGATAACCCAAGGCCCTAATTTTATGTAACAGCCTAAAGATGCAGAAAAGGTCATTGTATGAATATTCATCCGTATCAAGAGGTTAGGTATCCAATAGCATTGCAAGTAGGAACCTCGCTGCATCTTTACCAACTATACCAACTAGGTATCTGCAGGACTTGGCCCCAGGTCCAATCCACTCAATCCTCCCGCATCTCAATTTGCACTACTGTTAAGAGGAGAACAATACCTCACAGGGCTGTGCAGCTTACCTGCTTAATGCGTGCAAAACTCTTTAGCATTTTCCTCCAATCCCCTCATAGATGTGCAAATCATTGCATTCTTACTGTTCTGGGATAATGACTTTAATTTGATGATTTACAGAAGGAAGCCTCTCAGCAGGGACATTTTCATCTGAAGGCTCCCTTGCAGGGTGCTGGTGGGGGTGAGACTTTTAACAGTGTAGCTCAGGGGCCAGTGATTGAAGGAATCTCTTTCTTTGCTTCCTGCTGTATCACAACCATATTGTGACACCTTCTCAAACAGAGAATTAGAAACAGGCACTGGAACAACATGAAAGTGAATAAAGGACCTTGAAATTCATTGTTTAAGCCCAAGTTTGGAACCTGAACAGAAAAACACAAATTCTTTAATGATATGGTAGGTTAAAATAATCTTTGTTTATTTGGCTCTTAACATATCCCACTCAGGCACCACAGTTCATGACTGATCATTTAATGAGACAGCTCAAAATGGTTACTCCAACATTCTTGCTTCTCACATATGGTTTATGCCATTTTGAGCACTATTCCTCAATGGTGCACCATGCTAAGGATGCTACTGGCAGAAGGCCTGTGTTTAACCCAGATGCTCTTCACATGTGTGTTTGCAACCGTGATTATAAGCACCTGAAATGGGTGATCCATAAGATAATTTAACAGGACCAGCTTCTCCCAAATGTGCTTTGAAAGCCAGCTTAAAGTGTTCAGACTTTCTGACTCATTTCTGCAAAGAGTATTTTATTGTAACACTCAAACTAGAAAATATTTATTAGCAAGTATCATGCTTTATTTTTTCCCTCATAGGTATTTTCCACTGATGGCATCATTCACATTGTTATACGTATAATTTAGTCAAATACCAATAAAACTTTTCTGGAGCAGATTTTCTATTCAGCTGCAAGACCTCGAAGGTTAGCTTAAAAGGCCTCTATATATAAGTGTATCTTTTCTTCAAATTAATGGAAAAAAAGAATTTAAATTTTTAGTTACTGTCTCAAAAGGCAAGATCTACTAGTGGCAGGAAATGCATCTCTTGAAATGGAAGCTACTTTCAGTGTCCTTTGAAGTGGCTTCATTAATGCAAATTTTCATTGAAGTGGAAAAGTAAGGAATAGTGAGGCTACCTAATAATCTTTTTCAACGGCAATACCACAGAAACCTTACACTAGTAGTTGAAATAATTCCACTTAAGTGAAAGTACACTTTGGAAACACAGTCTGGACAAAATGCCTGCCCACTCCCCCTCCACTCCCAAACCAAAAAAACCCCACCTTCACACAACAACAAGACCCCAAAAGATGTTAGATATCAAAAGTTCTAGTTATATTTGTGAGCCATTGCATCACTGGACAACTGCATTTGAAGTGTATTTCAAGCTAATTAGAGATGGAGTGCTGTGTGTATATATATATATATATATATATATGGTTCCATGTGTATAACCAACAGTTAAAACTGCACTTTACAGATTTTTGTATTTTCACGGATTCTTCCTTTTGTGATATGCATCTTGTTAGTTTAGGATTAATTATACTGTAATATAAAGAAACAGAACTATTTTTTAAAATAAAGTATTTTCTATACTTTGTTGGTTCAAGTCATTATACTGACAGGATGTGTACTTCTCCACTTTTGCTGACAGATGGTCGTGGTGGGGAATATGATTTATTCCAAAGCTGGGAAGAGAATGGAAAAAAAACCCCACAAACCACCAGCTTATGTTGTATTTGCCTCTGGCCTCATCACTCTGTAGGATGTTTCTTGCATTGAAAGAGAAACCTGGAAGGAAAGGAGGTAAAACAATTGCAGTAACAAGGAAACATACCAACACCCAACGTGGTTTTCTAAAACAAAAAGCAGAGAACAACTGTGACAGCAACTGGAGTAGCACTCAGATTTTTATCTTCTCATTACTAGTCTCTGGAAGGAACATAAAAGATCAAGACTCCACACATCATCTCTAAAAACATAGAGCACTAAAGCATGACACACCCATTGAGGCTTACATTTTTCTAGACTGGTCTTCTAGACTGTTTTATTTTCATAGAAGGATGTCCCTTCACAAACATTCAGCATTTTTACAGATGTTCTCTGAAGTCCGCCAAAATGTAACCGTGATTTGAATTACTTATACTAATTCCTTTTTTTTCCAACATAGCTGGTTTGGTAACCAGATGAAAACAGAAATTAACCTTTCACTGCAGAATTACAAACATCTTTTGAAGTGGAAAAAAATATTAAGAAAAAATTACTCTAGATACGAAGCTGCTGTAGTGAAAGACCAGTTCAAGAAAAAACACCCTGCTATATCTTCTAAGTTGCTTGCATTCTTACAGTAAAGAACTGCTATAATCCTTTCAATAGATGCAATGAAACTCTTAATAGAAGTTAAGAATCCCAGAGGAAACAGATTTCAGGCATAATTTGAATATCACAGTTCAGTGGGAAATTACTTTCAGTCAGTGTGTAACAAGATCTCCCCAGTCCTGTGATTGTGACAAAGAAAAAAAGTACACCTCACCGTGAAGTTTTTCGTGATAGATTTGTATGAAAAACTGCAAGAGAAGAGATCTTTATCAATATAAAATTGCATAAGATACTTAAAATATCTGAAACCCTCCCAACCCCCAAAACACATCTACATCATAATTTTAAATACAAACGTGATATAATCAGAATTATCTGCTTATGTTCACCTCTGAACAACAGCTAAAGGTAAAAATGAAACTAGTAATTAGTAAGCAATAATTACAGCTTTATGCCAAAACCCCTGCAGCTTTTACAAGATTTTAGACGTACAGTCTACACCAAAAATAATGTAGAAAACAAAACCTTAAGATACATTTAAGTAGCAGTTTTTATTTTTAATAACTTTATTTCTAGATTAAAGTACTTACTGGATGCAAGTACTACAGATATGATGAGAAACTACACAGAGTTTCATGACTTCAGCTCAAAACGACTGAACAGAAGCATAAGGTGACCACGTCTTCCAAAATTATTCACAGCACTAAACTGAAAGTTAGGTTTTCTTTACCACTATCTTAGTTATAAAGAAGAAAAAACCAAATCCAAGCAATGTTACTGCTCCCATTTTTACTAATCTTTTTTCCAAGGTGGGTGCCTTTTCTGGAAGTTTCACTTGACTGGGGTCATTCTTCTGTCCATGCTGAGGCAGATGTTAAGTTCATGTAAAAAGTGCAACAAAGAAAAAAACATTAGTGTGAAAGCTTCTTAAGCATGTGATAAAGTACCCACTCCTAAGAATCAGCATGCATCTAGGACAGATATTAGTTCTTTCTCACTGTCTGTCTATGCCCTACTTCAACTGAAATAAAGGTGTGCAAACCTTTATCTTATCTGATGCTCAATCATCCTGAAATATATACCAGAAAGACAAACTGTTTACAAACTTAACTCCTGCTACAAAAGCCTAATAACAAAACATTTAAACTCCAATGGTCAAATATTTTAACCAGAACTTTTGCACTTTAATTACTAAAACAACTGTTTATTAAAACAGCAAGATAAATATGTAACAGATAAGACTTAGTTTAATTGATTACATTAAAGGGAGTACCTTACAAGTGCCTGCTCAAATACATGTTGAAGCTGAGTGGAGCCTTGTCATGAAATGCAGCAGGGTTAGCTAGGTCCCAATTCTCTAACTTAGTTTATAACCCTTGGAAGGCCATCTTGTCTACTGTGCTTTCAAAAATTATATGCTACAGACAGAACATGTACTGCTGGCAAAGTCTCGTAATGACTAAGCTTAGTAAACAGTACTGAAGATATTAAGGGAATTCATACAAACTTACTATCTAGAGGTTTAACTGTTTCACTTAAATTGGTGCTTTTGACAATAAATGTTTCAGGGCTCTACTCATTCAAGAGTGCCCCATCATAAATCAAGTATCACAAAAATGTTTTGTATTAAAGTCATCATCAGCGAAATTCATAAAACACTACAGTATTTTAATAGATCAGGAACTACATTTTTGAAATAATAAGAAGGCTAGTGTTTAACACCTCTGTTTAACACTGGGTATAAAGCAATCATCTTTTATCTTGAAAGCTATAAAACTTTAAGTACAGGTGACAGCAAAGTCAAGTGGCACCCAACTCAGGCTCCCCCCAGCCCTTATAACTGGCCTGTACACACAGGAAGCAAACATATACATACAATTGATTTCTGCATATGCAAAAAAAGGAACACAAATAGCTAAAAATTCTTCACCACAACCTCTATCTACCTCTCTATCTACCTCTTAAATATATTTGGTGTTAAGTGATTTATTGGGAGAAGGCTGTTATTTTACATTAAATTTACTTACACTACAGGAAATTGCATTAGTAGCATTATACTCAAGGTCCAAGTTCCACATGGCTTCGTTCAGCAACAGATTCCTTTCTGACACCGATGTTCCATTTACTCTATCCCAGCGGCCATTCCTTTTACTAGCCTATTACTTAAAATGACCCCATCTGACAAGAGCGTGTCATTGTGTTGGTTTGAGAATGACTGATGTGGTGCTAACGTCTAGCCTTGACCTCTCCCACCCTCTTCTTTTGTCACTCTGTAGAGTTATCTGGGATGCCTCCCATTCAATCCATAAAACCTTAGTATCTTCCCTGTGAGTCAATAATTCCAAACAAAAGATTCCTTAATTAAGAAGTAAGAATACAGGTATTCAGAATGGCATTTATGCCACAGTGGCTGTCCAAGAGCACAGGGATATGTTCCACTTAATTCTTTCCTGCAGTAGAAAGAAAAAGATTGACTGTGCCTTCCTTTGGAGACTGTCCATGCTGCTATGGAATATTCTAGACTATTTCTCATTCTGTCCATGGAAATGGAAGTGGAAGAGGTAGATGCAATGTCCAAGCTACAGCTAAAGTGCTGGTGCCAGACCAAGGTACCAACCGTTTCACTGACAGATGTCAAATTTGAGGTTGCAAGCAGAAACTCGTACACAGTATTTAATAGCTTCACTTGCACATACCCACCTTTTCCACCAAGTCCTTCAGTTTGGTAACTTCTCCGCCCAGCTTTTCAACATTGCAAACCAAGTCTTTGCAGATTTCGATAAAACTTTCAGTTGGTGCCCACTGCAGTACTATCTGTTAATAGTTACAATTATTTGCCAGAATTGCTGTAGATTATAACTTAATATTCTTTAGTTAACGTATTATAAAAGAGTGTCAGAAAAAGTTTATAACTGCATTTATGCTGTTTTTTCATTGTACGATTTATGCATATAATCTACTACTCTGTCAGCCTCTGCAGGAACCTTTTGTCACTTTAACTTACCTACCAGCAGAAACAGTAAGAAACATATGTATGTCCTTTAACTGGGTGGCTTAGCTCTTTGAAATAAATTATTTTAAGAAGTGTCCTTTACAGAAAGAACATTGGACAGTTTTATGTAACTCTACAATAATCAAGACAGTTGATGAATATTCATATTTTTCATTTTACCAGGTAGAATAATACTCTAGAACAGAATAATATACTCTAAATCAATCTTTTTTTTTTCTTTGGTTGAATACCTTGTGAGAATTGTTGAGGAAATGCATATTCACAGTCTGCACAGGAACAGTCAGCTTACTACACTCTTTATTCAACTTCTGAAGAAACTTGAGGAATTCATCTCCACTAAAAATAAAATTATATTCTGTTATTTGTTAAAGACTACAACTTTTTGCAAGCTAAATATTATCTATGCACTTCCAACATCGGCTAGTGAGTGAATCAGACATGCAATTTGATTGCATTAAAAAGAAAAATCCAGTTTTGTTTTAACACAGGGTAGTTAAATACTACATTTAACATCTTAGCAAGTTTTTGGTTTTGCAGGTTTGTTTTATGGGTTTTTTTCCCCTCCTTTTGGAAGGACAAAAAATCATCAAGTTATCCAGAATATTCAGCTAGTAAGACACAATGAAAGCTGAAAAAGCATCACTCAAAAGCTCTTTGGAAACACTCCACTTCTGTTTCTAACTCTCATCCATCCTGTATTATCAATGAAAACACTACCCGCTGGCATGAGCGATTTTTAACATACTATGGAAAATAACTGTAACATGCATAAAAAAAATTTAACAGACTAATTTCAATGCTAAATTTCTAGAGCTTCCATGTGACACTGACTCAATCAATTTTACTGTAAGCTTCAGAAAGCATTAGTTCTAAGTCATGGTGTTGGCCAAAAGTTGTTGCCGTTGACTGGGCAGAGGAAAGGGGGGGCAAGGAAGAAGATACTCCATTTGTTTTTACAGAGTGAGCTCTCAAACCCTCAAAAGCCTGAGAAGTGCCTGTATCTCCAGTAAGAAAGTTTCCACTAGCTTCCAACAAGCAGGGCCACAACAAGAGACAATTTTAAGTTCCTACTGAAGGACTTCCTGTTATACTTACAGGAGGATCTGAATAAATTAATTCAGAACCCAACGTTTCTCTTCTCCCTAGGGCAATCTGCTACTAAATCTAAACACAGCATACTCACACTGCCTTACTTGCTGCTGCTTCTGATGGCAAAAAGGTACACATGTAATTGCCAAACAGCTAGACTGAGCCACATGCCAGTGTGGTGTAAGTATCTAAACAGAGCCTGAATTTAGCCCACAGAGCGTTTTCCTTCAACTTAGGTACAAGATCACTAGTGAGCAAAGTCTTCACCTCTGCTGAGAACATCTGTGATTTGCAACACTGATGAACAGTTTAACACTTAAAACAGAAATATAAGGAATCATCAGCAGGGATGCTGGAGGTTAAAAACCAAGCCTGTTCATGGTTTTTATGATGATGGGGAAGTAAGAAAGCTTATTAGCTTGTTTTCACAAAATAAATATTATTTATTTCAGAACAATATAACTGAACTGAATATGTAGGGTAAAAAAACCCAAACATTAACATAAGAATCACATCTGGAGATAGCCTGAAAGTTTCTCCCACATTACTACAGTCAAGTCACGCTCATGAAAATATCCTTCTACTTAGACAACTTTTTATCTGGCTAGGATCAGTTATGGCAACTTCTCTGTTCTGTCAGAAAGCAAATTATTTTTAGGAATTCTGGAAGTATTCTCAGCAAAAAGAAAGTATGTCATGCGCAAGAAACGAGGAGAAAAAAAAGGAAAATAAACATTTTTTACTTCTCATACTTCTTTATTATACTACAAATAGTTCTTACTATTTGTATACTATACTTACTATAATTGTTCTTAAAAACCATTTTCATAGAATTTTGTATCTGTTGCAGTGAAATGTTCCTATATGTGCAAATGGAAATAACGTTTGCAAAAAATAATCACTTTTTAAAAGAATTAATGGCTGTCAAAACACCAGTGGCTAAACAGTGCTAGACACTCTGAGTTTATAATCAATCAGTTCAACATTTTCTACTATGTTAGTTTTTCTATGACTTAATGACTGATTTGCCTTCTCACAGAATGACTTTGAACAAGTGGGAAGTAAAATCTTTATGTAATAGCATGTAAACATAGCCTATGATTTTAGTCTCAAGGTCAGATTCCTAGAATACATGTCAGGCCATTTTCTAGAAAACTATGCAGTGCGTGCCATAACTGAAATGCTGTCATATTTTGTCTACTTCAATCTTTAATCAACCAATTATTTTCTGGTTTTGAGAAGTACATATGCTATAAAACCACAATGTACTTTGGAATTCCATATGTCACTGGTGTGTGGTACTGTACTGGACATCATGTGGATTTTTTACTGTATTTGGCTACACATGCAGTGAACTGTTAATTTTTTTTATTTCTCCACTTATTCCCTCTCTTCAAATTTTTAAGCTGTTCTGCTTTAATGTATATACTAAACACCACTATGGACTAATCTGGAAAAAGCACACATTTCTAGCATAAATATACACGAAGCTTAAACTGGGCAAAGTTCTCTGAAACTGCAGCTAATTATCCCTCACTAAGACTCAACATCCTTTTCTAAAGGTGTGTCATTGGGCAGCTAGACACCCAGATGCCTGCCCTATTACCTCAGCTCAGCAGCAAAGCCTCTATTTTCATAGGAACAGCTCAGGTGCTGTCAGAGTATTTATGGTGTGTCCATATCATACTGGTTTGTACCCTCTTGCTGGAACTTTAGTTCTTCAGTCTTACAGTACACATACTACAGTGCACATGGATTATCCTCTGGAAGTACACAGGTGCTTATTTTGATGGTGAAACCTCCTCAGACCAGAAGTGGCATCAAGGGCCTGTATTAGGACATGAACATCCCACTCTCCCACCCCACCTCAGTCTTTCAAGAGCTTCCCCAAATGCCTTGCATGTCCTCCCACATCCTACAGCTCAAACTTGGCATCACGCTGCAAAAACACACCTCAAGCAGGCTGCGAAGCCTCTTTTGTAGAAGCACAGTAATGGATACAGATACAGGCACAGTGACAGCATCAGGAGCAATCGGCATATGTAAGGACGACTAGACAGGAGCGCAGTACATACTAGACAGACTCACATTACCAAGGCACAAAAGCAACAGTATGGCAGGACCACATCCATGACATGACTGCTAAAACACAGTGTCAGTGCAATTCAGCTGCCTCCAAAGGATGGTGACATCTACAGAACCCAAGCACATAACATAACTAATGAAGAGCTTAGCCTTACAGTACCTAAATAATGCAGAGAGCTCTCCCCAGAGTTTTGGAGAGGGAAGAAATATCTAACAGACTAGCAGCACAGCTGTCAGGTCACTAGTCAAGAGGGAGATACATACAAAGAGGAACTGAACCCTTATTTACCTAGACAGTAGAAAGTTACTTAATGAGTAGTTTGGATGCAAGGAGGAGTTTTTTCACCCGTACTACTCTAGCCAGGCCACTGCAAATAAGGCAACACAATGCTACGCAAATGGTGGTGGGACTGGGAAGACAGAAACAAGCACAGAGAACCTAACTTACTAGTGATGCAGCCAGAGTACAAGGAAGGAGCAGTATCTCCAAACCAGTTTTCTCTCAGCTAAACAAACAGTTCAACTGACTAAAGCCTTTGAAAGGCAAGCCACAGTTTTCTGCCCAAGTCAATTTCTAAAACTTTTGCAAATTAAATATCAAACTAATCCTGTTTTCAGGAATAATTCTTCTATAGTTTTGGGAAGTAAAAAGAGGAAAGACATGAGCACAGAATCTAAATTCAAATCTAGGTCTCTTGGAAAAAATGAGACAACCAAATAGAGGATAAGAGCTTTAAGAAATCTTAAGACACCTTTACACTTAGTATAGCCTTCACTATTCTTTTTGTGCTGGATGTGGAGAGTGCTCTACCAATGCTTAGGGGACTGACAAAGTTTAATAAAGTTGCTGAGGGATGTTCCTCTCAGCTCAGGCCTGGATTTCATGGGACTGCACAAGACTATACTAGAAGTATGAGAGGTATTACAGAATTGATGCTTAAGGCTGTAAGAAAGAACCAATAATGGGAAAAATATCAAGTTGGAATGGAAGCTTGAAGCAGTAACACTTTCTTAAAAAAGTTTCCTCATAAACCTACTTCTACTGATACATATGATCTATGGATAAGGAAACATCTTATGAAGTTCTTAATTTGTAATATAAAAAAAATAGGTCTTTTAGAAGCCAGTTAAAACTGCTTCCAGTGGAAGAGAAAAACATGGAAAAAATCCTGAATTTATACAGAAGTCACATTTATGATTAAGATAGACATGTTCAAGTAATTAATATGTTGAAAATTAAAGCCCTATGCAGAAGTCATATGCATCTCTCCCTCCCACACATCTTTTTATTGCATCTTACAATCAGACAAGTTTGACTGCAAGACTACCAGAGCCTCCCTTGTCTAGAGAGATAATGGAGAACTACAGAGACCGCATCATGTGGGGTTTGTAAGGGTCCATAACGCTCTTGATGCACGGGGAAGCAAGGATGACAAGACTCCATTTCCACAGAGAAATAAAAAAATCTGCTCACTGCAGCCTATCACAGAAATTAAAGAATGAGCTAATACTGAAGCCCAAGAAGCCAGCTTCAGGATTTATGATATGAACACAAGGTAGTGAAACCCTGCACATCAAGGCTATAAAACCCTGTTTGAGGTACAAAGAAATAATTCATCACTCAAAAAGATGGATAAAGTAATGGCATATAATGGCAATATAACCCATAAACAGATTTCTACAACAGGAATCTATGGTTCCAACTTTCTTTGTACAAAACGCACCTACCACCAGCCCTCATAATCCATTAACTGGCGTACTCTCATAAATGTTATGCATGGGATAAGGTGTGAGAGAACTTTACCACTGAGCTACAGAAAACAATGCAGTCACCTTAAATAGTTCATATTTCACTTCCATTTCCTTAGACATAGTTAATACCTTAATTCCAGCTTCAGCACTTCAGTGAGGTCTCCAGTTCTTATCTCTTCCACTTGTAGCTCATTAATAGCATCTAAGAGTTTCTGCTGATCTTCAGGATTTGTAATGCCAATCTAAAGAGTAATTCCAAATATGATTTACTTTTAATACCTATTAGACATAACAGTACAGTACCATTTATTGTGCAAATTTCTAACTATTGAGTCAAAAGAAGTTGCTTTTAAGTTATTGCAACCAACTACAATGCATGTAACTGACAAAGGAAAAAAAATGAAACCACAGAAAGTATTCAATGATGCAAAACAAAAATGACAAGAACTGAGGAAGAGCCAAACGGAAATGCACAGGATACTCAGAAAATCTGTTTATTAAAAAAAAAATATCAGTTTTTATAAGTATGCCTGTGTTGTTACAATGTTATACTCATCTATTTCAGAATCATCTCAGTCATCTCCTATAGCAAAATAACCAATCATAATGACGGATATCCAGCATTAACTCAGAAAGAATAGAAACTAACAAAGCAGCATCAAATGGAGAGTTTTACAGAAAGAGGCCAGATTTTAGGAAGGGCTTTTATAAGCCGTTGGGTGCGTATTTTTTTCCAGTTAGAGAAACTGGTCTAATAAGATATGATACCTTTTCCTAAAACCTTATTTTAAAAATTAAATTCTATAAGAAAATAAGTTACTTCTACGCAGAAATTGACCTGGTTCACACTACCTCCAAAACATTAAATGATTAGAAACTAGTAGGGAGAGAGAATATGAGATGTTAAAAAGACAGTCACCTGGATGTTTATATCATGTAATAGCATGTAAAAGGAGCCTTTTTATACATCTGAAGGACAGCATACTTATGAACTCAGAATCAGCTTATACAGTCCCTAAGCTCAAATCAGTTCATCTTCTATACTCTCGGCTCATGCTGCAAACAACAACAGAAGAGTTCTGAATAGTTCAAGGCTTTTTGTCTTTTTTAGCTGAAGAAAAGTACAATTTTCATTGGAAGATAAACACTATATAACTGAGGTTCTCTAATTGATGCCTAGGACAGAGAACATTGTCAGCTGTGTTATCCATCAACTACCTCAGATGAAAATTTAACTCATATTTGAATACAGGATAAGAGTTTTCTTGCAGAAAATAAAAAAATTGGTCCATTTGTTAAATGGGAAGTGCTTCTCGGGGACATTCAATACTTTTCCTTGCTCATCTGACAGGCTGCTGTGCAACACAGGACTTCTGATGTTTGCAGCCCTAAGGATGCTTCTCCACACAAGTGCAAAACCTCATAATGCTAGCTCCAAGCATCACTTTGTTCTTAAGTCTCCAACTGAATACTTGGACTCAGCATGAACAGACCATTCTGGAATTTGAGACCACAAGGCTCTCAGTCTCCAAAGCTAGAACATATGGGGCTCTCACTAATGTTCTAAGGACCTGAAGTTCCCTGCTGCAGCTTCAGAAATCTTTAAGATGTTAGTGCTTGCTGTCTCCTAGCCTTCTGTAATTATTGCAGAAAGAATTTTGAATGAACAGCTGACAACACACATCAGATCAAAATGCCAGACAGTCTCTCTTCCTTGGATGGTGCTGAGCAGCCATTCTAGGGAAGAAAAGGTGCTTAGAGAAATGCTTGCTTTGTGTGAGACTATAGTTTCTGATGCCCAGTGTTCACTGTGGCTCCATAAAACAGCTCTCCAGGTTCTCCACCAGGTGTTCAGGAATCACAGGTAACGTAAGTATGGGCTCACACATGTGTCTTTAACAAATCATGTTATAAGTCTATAGACAAGTAAGTTCTTCAGTAACGTAAAATCCCAACAAGATTACAGGTGTCAAGAACTTTTGAGTTTCCAAGAGGTTGCCTTGGGTGCCTGAACAAATTGTACTCATGTCTCTGGTAAATAACAGCTGTCAGCCTTAAGGGAGAAATATCTGGGGTTCCTAGAAACAATTTGCTTCAATTTATTAGTTCTCAAGCTTGCCTTGTGGAGCCCTATCTGGTATGAACTAATGTTTTCTTGATGCTTACAAAGCATTACAGCCAACATTTCATAACGCAGAAGTAAGCTGATTTATATAAGAGCAGTAAATTTACTTTTAATTACAATTAACAAATCAAATGAGCTCTTCCAAGGACAGAACAGCAGTTATTCTTGAATATTAAAACTATCTTGCTTAAAGCAGGAACTATTGTGAAGACTGGGTTTGCTTCTGACTCCATCTTCTCATTCCTGGAACAAGCAAATCAGGATACAGTTTCCTGACCAGCACAGCAGGAAGATGTTGCACTTTGTTTCCCTATGAATAAAACATAACTTCATCCTTCTGCAAATGGATCAGTGACTGAGCACCATCACATCTTGAAGATATTATTTAGGAAGTAAGCAATATGATAAAAGTCATCATACATAAAGCCCTCCACCACCACAGTCATTTTGATTTCAGAGTTACTAGGTGCAGAAAGTAGACAGATCAGTCCGAACTTCTTCCCAAAGCAGACAGACTTTCCCTTTCTAGACCATCTCTGCTGAACATGAGGGTTACCCAGAACCTGACGATTCATCCCATGGTGAACGCGTGGAACAAGCACAATGCAAGAAGCCCTTCTTCCTTATGGATAAGCAAGCTTTTTAAGTTGGTGTTGCTTCAATTACACTCTGCAGTCCAAATAATGCAAATATTGTGAAGTGGCCATATGTTAAAGAATGTACAAGTTGTACAAGAACTTGCTTATATCTGTAAAACAGAATATATGCAGTCTAGATTTTGATTTTAGGCACATCAACTCTAACACCACCTATTTAATTCTTTACTTAAATAAATAAATAAACCCCAACCCCTGAAAATCTACACCCCAAACTCATGTTCCAGCATCAGCACGACTTTTCTGTTATCATTTAGATGGAAACAAAATAAGAGGCAAGTAACAGATTATCCCAACTCATGAAAGATGACATACTTCTCAGATAAAAGCACTGATGTTATGCATGAACTCTTACATCTTTGCCATCTTGCCCGACTGGCCACTATTTTTAATAACCTGACAATTTTCTGCCAAACAGTAAATGCTTTTTTGCAGGGAGGTGGGGCAGAGGAAGGAGAGTCCTGGAACGGTGATATAGAAGCACACAGACCAGATAATTCTTACACGCTGAAGTTAAACTTCCGGGTTATACTTTGAATTTCGATGTGTCAACTTTTCATTGTCCATTCTCAAATCCAGAACAGGATGCCAATTTATTTTATTCTAAACTAACAAACATGTGAGAAAGGAACCTTCTTAGTCCTAAATGCATCCAGAAGTAAAATTACTTCTGTTGCTATCTTGTGAGAAAAATGCTCAAAAAAACCCAAACCAGACAGAAAAGATTTGAGTGTTATGAGTAGCACAGAATCATATAAAACCCTCCAAATGTTGAATAGACATGTCCCAGTATACTGAACAGCCTTGTCTCAGTATGGAACAGTTTATAAGCTTAAGGAATGCAAGGATTTCAGCTTGAAAGGGTCACTGTTTAGGCTCTGTTGTAGAATACAGATAAAGCTATTTACAGAGAAAATATCTTTCTGATATTGTTTGATGGAGGAAAGTGTATCATGTTAGTGACAGGATTTCTCCACAGTTCTCTGGATACAAAGCAGCTTGGTTCAGAGGCATCCATCAGAGGTCATCATTAATCTTTGTAGTAATAAGATCCGGGCTCCTTAAGAGAGCTGGCTGTTAGCTGAAGATCTGCCATCACACTAAAAACTTTCAACTCTGGAGTTATAAGGAAACAGATTAGATTTGTTCTATCAGCAGTGTGGGGAGAAACTGTTAGTAGAGCTCTAAAACCGGCCTGCATCAAGAATTTAGGATAACTTATGAAGTGATAATAAGCCAGGAGTGTTGTGTCATTTTTTAAATTCTCAACTGAAGACTCGCCAAGTAATTTATGTCTATGCACAAAGCACAACTTATTTTCTAGGAACTCTTTCCTGCTGTCACAGAGCTAAGAGAGAAAACAATTCTGTTCCTATAGATATTATCTTCCTGTGCAAGAGCAGCTGATCCAGGTACTTATTTCAGTTTGTCCAAAAAAGCTCTCTTTTTATAACAGGGAGCCCCAAACACGTTAGAACACTGAAACAGAAGTTATGAGTCTTTGTGAAATTAAAACTCTTCGGTGAAAGAACCATAAGGCTGAAAGAACCATTCACTAAAGTCCACAATTCTCTCCCTTTCCCCCCCCAGTATCCCCTGGCCAAAAACAAGTAATGATTGCAACATCAAAACAGGCAATCAATATGAAATACTCAGTCAGATTTTCAGTTTAATGCAATCATGACCAAGACAGCAGCTCACACAGTGATGAGAAGAAGGCCACAAAAACCTTTAAGAGTAAAATTCCTGTCAATGAGGGCTTTAGGATTCATATAAACGCCATACCTGGATGCTGTCCAGTGGGCATAATCCTGAGGCTTCAGAAAAGCAGTAACATTAGAACATGCTGACATGCCCTGTAATATTTAGGTCTAAGTGAATTCTTAAATCTCTTAATTGACAAGGCTTCCTATACGTGCACCCTCTGAGAATACAGAATTACTTCTAAGCTCTGTCAAAACACTGAAACTCTATTCAGTTACAAGATAAAACAATGCAAAACATCCTTGTGACACCAACGCCGAAGGAATATTAACATCTGTAAGCAAATGTGGGTTCCAGCTGCTAGAAGAAAAGCTTTCTTGGGAAAAAAGCTGACACTGAGGACATCAGCAGCAGAGAGCAAGCTTGAAGCAGCTATTTTAACCAGACATCTCTGGTATCCCAGACCAGGTACAGAGTGCTCAGAAGAATCCTGCAGCCTGAAATATTTTTGTTCCAAGGAGACTCCTATGATTGGATTTTATTATGGCACCCTCTTGTAAGCATGGGAAGTCTTTAATTTCCCACACTATCTCAACTGGAAACTGAAACCTTGTAATAACGCATCATTTGCTCCTGGATAGCAGTGAAATACCAGCCTTCCCAGCTGTAGTAAACTGTAAGAAACCAAATCTTCTAAACATTCTCTCTCTCTTTTTTTTTTTTTTTTTAACAAACCTGTGTGGGAGATGAGATTACACAATGTAAGAGTGGTCTTTTTTTTTTTTCCAGCAGAAATTACCACCTCACAAAGGAGGATCACATTTAAAGTAGATGTTTAGGATCATCTACTGCTAATCCTAGCACTGATTTCCTTTCAAAGAAAACATACTTAAATACTAAATATGGTGACAACTAAACTTAAAAATGGAACTGTTTCCTGCTCATCCCAACTCCTACATCCTTACAACAAAGAAATACTGAGGACTTCTACTTCATAGTCAGATCTAGGCAGAGAAGATGCAAGAATTCAACTCAAAGAATTCAAGGCTGATCTGTGGGATTACATATGTTAGAAAAGGTCTGTCTATATTCATATTGAAATTCAAGTTGCAGAAGATTCTGAAAAGAGATCTTAAACAAAACCCCAAAGAATTCTTCAAGGTTAGCCATTTATAAAGAGAAGGTAAGACATTAAAAACATCTAACAAAGAAGAAAAATAAATTAACTTCTACAGTAGAAAACTGACCTGTATTAGCTCTTCTTTTTGCATGATCAGAAGTTGTCTTAAAGCTATATCTCTTTTCTGCATAAAAAAGGGTTTTCTGACATCAAAAACAATTTCAGAAGAAAATATTGTTTTAACATAATTTTTTGACTTATGTTTTACTTCAGTTTTCAGAACGAAAAACAGCTACACAATACCATTACTGAAGTAATGAAAGAGTTCTCTAGCTTAGACACATCACGTGTTGTGACTAATGCATATAATCAAAATTAAGCAACCCAATCCAGTTCACTGCACTTTAATACTTTATATATAAACTTTTGTTTAATAAATTGATTTGAATTAATTTAATACATTTATTTGAATTAATATACTAATAGTGATAGAACTTTTTTGATGCTGTAGGTGCATTTTGCTTTCATGGATTATGTTACAGATAGCAGATACACCACAAACTTACCTTCAACAATCCTATTATGTGTTCTAGTCCAAGACCATGTAAAAACACTTCCATGTCATCAAAATTTGAATAGGAACTGTAAATATAATTGATGAGATTTGAGATGAAAACAGTGGAAATTAAAAAAATAAAAGACATCCAGAACAAAACACTACAGAAGAGCTCCCAAGGCAAAGCAGTGTCAGACCTAAAGTTGTACACACCTACTGATGACAGTAATATCTTATAACCATCATGGGGTACAATTTAATCTACCAAAATTTTATAAATGGATTTTCTGTCTAATGAGTTGAATTGAGCTTAAAGGGAATGATTTTCACAAATAAACATCATTTTAAGTAGCAAAATGTTCCAACTGAACGTTAAAGCTGGGTTGCAAAAGCCTAAAAAGTTTGTAAGTGAGGTTAAGGAAGATAACTATGAATTGGACTCGGCCAACAACTATTACCCTTCCAGTTTCATTTAAACCAAAAGAGTTTATAAGACAGGCATGTCCATAACTAAAAATAGTGGAAATTAGTCCCTTAAGAAATTTGTTGTCAGAAGACTACTGTTCAGAAGGTAGGCTGAGGAACTAGTACATTCCACTACAGGTTCAGAATTTAACATTTATAAACAAAGGTAAATATCAATCTTGATTCCCCACCCAACCAAAAGATATAAAAATATAAGAGAAAAAAATATCTAAATAGCTTTCAACAATCAGATGAACAACTATAATGAACAGAACTAAACCAAAAAGGAAAAAAAATAATAAAAAAATGCAGAAAGGACTACTGCAATAGATACAGTGAATCCTTTGCAAAAACCCTGAGTTAAGATGGCTTGCTCCATTTTATTGTAGGTCCTGAAATGAACGTTTAAGTCTTTGATGTAAAAAGGGGGTAAAGAGCTCATATCAAAATCTGTAAAAAAAACCCCAAAAAACCCAAACCCCAACAAAACAAGCAACACCCCCCCCCCCCCAAAAAAAAAAAAACAAACCCAAAAAAACCACAAAGCAAAATGCCTCTCTGAAAATTGTTCTGAATACATAAGAAAAAATTTCAGGTTTGCAACATTGAGAATCTCACATTCCAGGATTTCTGGCATTTAAGTATACCTTATGTATAGAGTATCCCTTTATGAGGATGGACACGCTAAATCATGTATGAAGAAGTTTATGCAACTTCCACACTGTAACAAGTCAATAATTCTGTGAGCATGCCTTCTGTCAGCAGGCAAAATATAAAAAGAGTTTAAAATAATTTTAATAGAGTTTAAAGTCATCATCTCTACCACGAAGTTGCGTAGAGTTGTGTCATCCTCTGCCTGATTCTTACCCCTGAAGACACAGACAGCAACAACCAGTCTTTGAAGTAAGCAATTCACGTATACATTCAAACATTGTATGTACACACAATGTCTCTCAACTGGCAAGAGAAGACAGTGCGTGATCATCCTGCAGTCATTAAATCTTTTTATTCAGGCATTCAAAGTACCTAGTTTGCAAAGGTTTTGTGAGTCCTTGGGTAACTCAAGACTTTTAGTTCTGCTAAAGGTGCAAGGAAAGGACGTTTTTACCCTGGATCAAAGAAAGGGCCATTCAGCACCCAGACAATAACTTGAAAGCCCCTGAACCAGAAAAGAACCTAATCCAGGAACCGAAGAAAGGAAATTCCTGCCAGGTATGTGCATTTCCTTGTACAGACCAGGGCTCTGGAAGCCAGGACAATTGTCTAATTAGGATGGTAGACAGCAATGACTGAAGCCATGCTCACTACCTAAGGATGATAAGCTATACTCACTGACCCTGCATGGTGGGGCACAACCGATACCCAGTACCAGATGATGCATTAGGAGCAACTGAGAGAAAAGGGACTTGAGAAGACAACTGGCAAATGAAAATTATGCAGGCAAATGGCAGGAAGGACACATCCAGATCAAGGAACTATGACGAAATAAACACAGGTATCAGTGCACCTCTTGACTATCACAAGATAAAAAACCCCCAACTCACTAGGGGATGGGTATGTGTTTGTGTGGAAACAGATAAGCTATATCTCTCTGAAAAGGTATTTAACAGTCAGACATCTGCTATACTGCACGGGACTGTTTCCTGAAACCAAAAATTCTACTGATTACCAGAAATGCTCAAAATTATGAAACATCAGAACTAGCTGTTGTTAGTATAAAAATCCTTGAGCTTGACAGAAATGTCTGTTCATACAAACAAATCAGTTGCTCATCTGATGCAGAGAAAACCAGCAGAGTTTAGAAAAAGACTACTGACACATTGTGAAATCCTGGAAGCCCAAGAACTGCCTAATATAGACTTACATTTGCATAGTTAGACATCTGGCTGTGATAAAGTATTTTAAGCGGGCTTCAGGACTTCAGTGTCCTATTTTAAAAGCTTATAAAGATTACCCAGACACTAGTAGAATGTCCTCTAGCAACTGTCAGGTTTCAACACCACTAAATCTATTTGGGCAACCACTGCATAGTGTTAGTTTATTTCCTTATACCAGAAAAAGCCTGGGAAACCTCCTAAATAACCTAAACCTATTAAAAAGAAGAGAGATGTGATCTAACACAGAGGTTGTTAAGTACAGACTCTATCTAGGAGTACGAGTCTTTGTGAAGAGTACAAGACCAAACTATTTAAAAGAATGTCACTTTCATGGCAAGTATACAGGGACTCAAAAGATGATCCCCAAGGAGCAGACAGAGCCCATGCAAGACCTGGTTCATAGATGGGGAGATACACCCAGAACAATGCCTTTAGGAATCAATGAGTAGCAAGATTCAAGAACAAAGAGGACAGCATAGATAATTGATTTTACCACGCAAAGCCTTCACCCCTGTGGCCCAAGAAGTACCTCTAAGATGACTGCAGCTGAAGCACCAGAGAATAAAAATCTGATTGATATATCTAGCCTGGTGAGGCTTTGTCTGAAATGAGGTAACTCTGTCTGAGACTGAGACTACCACAATGTGAGCTGCTACCTAGTGAACTGCCATCAGCTTAATGATACAAAACCACGGCATTTCAAATTCAGCATGACCTGGCTGACCAGGGACATAAAGAATCAATCAGAACAGACTATGGGCACTGGAAGTTGTCTTCTCAAAACCATGCAGCTCAAGAAGGCAAGCGGATGGTTTGTTGAGGACTTCTTAGCCAATATGTTCTGGGACAAAACTGTACCGTAGATCTCTAAAGTTCCCAAAGCAGGGTCTGATTTCAGTCATAGGACACCTGCAAGCTTCAGGGTCAGTAGCATGCTATGCAAAAAGTTCTAGAGCTTAACTGGTGTTCATACTTAATTGCAACTCTCATATATGCAGAAAAAAAGAAAAGGGCACGTCTCTCCCTGGTGGCATGAAGCTGAAAACAGGCATTCAGTGAAAGCATCAAAAGTTTAACATCAAATGAAGACAATCACAAAACAAGGAGTATCCAGCCAGGGAGCATGCAAATTTAACAGAACTTAAACGAACTGAAGTGACATTGGACCCTGGCTCTACTACACTTTACACCAAGTGAGAAGAAGGAAAGATCTAGAACATGCTCTTTGTTTATAACACAAAAGAACTTTGCAATCTTGAAAAATTAATAGTTCATACTTACTGAGGGCTCTTGGTACCACTCCAAACAATACACAACATGTATCAGTACAACTTAATCATTGATATGAACAAATACAATCTCTTAGGCATGTTTATAAGCTAAAATTACATTATGACTGTATTTACCCAACTCTGTGGTCAGGGACAGCTGTCAAAAATTTGTAGATAGCCTCTTGCTTAATTGTTTCACCGCATCTCCCTTGCAAGTGATTTGCAGCCAAAGAGAGTAAACAATAAATCTGGAAGAGCCAAAATGAATTAATTATTATTATTCAAAATGCATAACAAGATACATGATTAAGACTACAAAGAGTTCTGTCATGAACTACTACTTACAGGGAACATGAAACATCTGCCACTTCTTCTCAAAAGCATCCAACTACAGTGAGGAATTAAGACTAAATCCACAGAGTTTATCAAGAGTATTTCTGAATTAACCGAATTCCACCACAATGATAACTGACGTAGAGCAAAACAGTATATATAAGGTAGTCTAAAAAGTTAGTGTCTGTCACTACAGAAGCAGCAATATACCAACATACTAATTTTTGTGGTTTGTGGACAAGGGAATAAGATCCCTAAAGAGCATAAGGCATATGACTGCTTTAATGTCTCAATTTCTAGTGCATATACGGGCACAATATTTAGCAATTTACAACTGACAGTCTAAGTTAACTCTGACAGACAGGGATTCTTTCAACTGATTAAAGAAGCAAGCCTTCTGGCAGACATCACTATCCATCAGTGATGGATTCCAGAAACTGAATTGTCCTTGTTCGAGTTTTGAGATAGTTACTAGAAAATTCAGCAAAACAAGCAGAATCTCAATAAACCTAAATGAATGGTGAAACCACGTTCCTGAAATTCAGGTGACTAGCCATTTTTATATATATATA